ACACTCTCAGTGCCGCATCAAGTGGAGTGATCGCGTTTTGGTGGTGCCTTTAAAGGGCCACACTCTTACTGCCGTGACCAGTAAGTGTTCGAGTCTTTGGTTGTGCCTTTAAAGGGCCACACTCTCAGTGCCGCGTTCAGTGGAGTGATCGCGTCTTTGGTGGTGCCTTTAAAGGGCCACACTCTTACTGCCGTGACCAGTGAGTGATCGAGTTTTTGGTTGTGCCTTTAAAGGGCCACACTCTCAGTGCCGCGTTCAGTGGAGTGATCGCGTCTTTGGTGGTGCCTTTAAAGGGCCACACTCTCAGTGCAGCGTCCAGTGGAGTGATCGAGTCATCGGTGGTGCCTCCAAAGAGGCACAATCAAAGTGCCGCGTCCAGTGAGTCTTCGAGTCTTTGGTGGTGCCTTTAAAGGGCCACACTCTTAGTGCCGCGTCAAGTGGAGTGATCGCGTTTTGGTGGTGCCTTTAAAGGGCCACACTCTCAGTGCCGCGTCAAGTGGAGTGATCGCGTCTTTGGTGGTGCCTTTAAAGGGCCACACTCTTACTGCCGTGACCAGTGAGTGATCGAGTCTTTGGTGGTGCCTTTAAAGGCCACACTCTCAGTGCCGCGTCAAGTGGAGTGATCGCGTTTTGGTGGTGCCTTTAAAGGGCCCCACTCTCAGTGCCGCGTCCAGTGGAGTAATCGAGCCTTTGGTGGTGCCTTTAAAGGGCCACAATCAAAGTGCCGCGTCCAGTGAGTCTTCGAGTCTTTGGTGGTGCCTTTAAAGGGCCACACTCTCAGTGCCGCGTTCAGTGGAGTGATCGCGTCTTTGGTGGTGCCTTTAAAGGGCCACACTCTTACTGCCGTGACCAGTGAGTGATCGAGTTTTTTGTGGGGCCTTTAAAGGGCCACAATCTCAGTGCCGCGTTCAGTTGAGTGATCGCGTCTTTGGTGGTGCCTTTAAAGGGCCACACTCTTACTGCCGTGACCAGTGAGTGATCGAGTCTTTGGTGGTGCCTTTAAAGGGCCACACTCTCAGTGCCGCGTCAAGTGGAGTGATCGCGTTTTGGTGGTGCCTTTAAAGGGCCACACTCTTACTGCCGTGACCAGTAAGTGTTCGAGTCTTTGGTGGTGCCTTTAAAGGGCCACACTCTCAGTGCCGCGTTCAGTGGAGTGATCGCGTCTTTGGTGGTGCCTTTAAAGGGCCACACTCTTACTGCCGTGACCAGTGAGTGATCGAGTTTTTGGTGGTGCCTTTAAAGGGCCACACTCTCAGTGCCGCGTTCAGTGGAGTGATCGCGTCTTTGGTGGTGCCTTTAAAGGGCCACACTCTCAGTGCAGCGTCCAGTGGAGTGATCGAGTCATCAGTGGTGCCTCTAAAGATCTACACTTTTAATGAAGCAGCCAGTGGAGTGTTCGAGTCATCGGTGGTGCCTTTAAAGGGCCACACTCTCAGTGCCGCGTCCAGTGGAGTAATCGAGTCTTTGGTGGTGCCTTTAAAGGGCCACAATCAAAGTGCCGCGTCCAGTGAGTCTTCGAGTCTTTGGTGGTGCCTTTAAAGGGCCACACTCTCAGTGCCGCGTTCAGTGGAGTGATCGCGTCTTTGGTGGTGCCTTTAAAGGGCCACACTCTTACTGCCGTGACCAGTGAGTGATCGAGTTTTTGGTGGGGCCTTTAAAGGGCCACAATCTCAGTGCCGCGTTCAGTGGAGTGATCGCGTCTTTGGTGGTGCCTTTCAAGGGCCACACTCTTACTGCCGTGACCAGTGAGTGATCGAGTCTTTGGTGGTGCCTTTAAAGGGCCACACTCTCAGTGCCGCGTCAAGTGGAGTGATCGCGTTTTGGTGGTGCCTTTAAAGGGCCACACTCTTACTGCCGTGACCAGTAAGTGTTCGAGTCTTTGGTGGTGCCTTTAAAGGGCCACACTCTCAGTGCCGCGTTCAGTGGAGTGATCGCGTCTTTGGTGGTGCCTTTAAAGGGCCACACTCTTACTGCCGTGACCAGTGAGTGATCGAGTTTTTGGTGGTGCCTTTAAAGGGCCACACTCTCAGTGCCGCGTTCAGTGGAGTGATCGCGTCTTTGGTGGTGCCTTTAAAGGGCCACACTCTCAGTGCAGCGTCCAGTGGAGTGATCGAGTCATCAGTGGTGCCTCTAAAGATCTACACTTTTAATGAAGCAGCCAGTGGAGTGTTCGAGTCATCGGTGGTGCCTCTAAAGGGTCACACTCTCAGTGCAGCGCCCAGTGGAGTGTTCGAGTCATCGGTGGTGCCTCCAAAGAGCTACACTTTTAATGCAGCAGCCAGTGGAGTGTTCGAGTCATCGGTGGTGCCTCCAAAGAGGCACACTGTCAGTGCCGGGTCCAGTTGAGTGATCGAGTCTTTGGTGGTGCCTTTAAAGGGCCACACTCTCAGTGCCGCGTCCAGTGGAGTAATCGAGTCTTTGGTGGTGCCTTTAAAGGGCCACAATCAAAGTGCCGCGTCCAGTGAGTCTTCGAGTCTTTGGTGGTGCCTTTAAAGGGCCACACTCTCAGTGCCGCGTTCAGTGGAGTGATCGCGTCTTTGGTGGTGCCTTTAAAGGGCCACACTCTTACTGACGTGACCAGTGAGTGATCGAGTTGGTGGGGCCTTTAAAGGGCCACACTCTCAGTGGCGGGTCCAGTTGAGTGATCGAGTCTTTGGTGGTGCCTTTAAAGGGCCACACTCTCAGTGCCGCGTCCAAAGGAGTAATCGAGTCTTTGGTGGTGCCTTTAAAGGGCCACAATCAAAGTGCCGCGTCCAGTGAGTCTTCGAGTCTTTGGTGGTGCCTTTAAAGGGCCACACTCTCAGTGCCGCGTTCAGTGGAGTGATCGCGTCTTTGGTGGTGCCTTTAAAGGGCCACACTCTCAGTGCAGCGTCCAGTGGAGTGATCGAGTCATCAGTGGTGCCTCTAAAGATCTACACTTTTAATGAAGCAGCCAGTGGAGTGTTCGAGTCATCGGTGGTGCCTCTAAAGGGTCACACTCTCAGTGCAGCGCCCAGTGGAGTGTTCGAGTCATCGGTGGTGCCTCCAAAGAGGCACACTGTCAGTGCCGGGTCCAGTTGAGTGATCGAGTCTTTGGTGGTGCCTTTAAAGGGCCACACTCTCAGTGCCGCGTTCAGTGGAGTGATCGCGTCTTTGGTGGTGCCTTTAAAGGGCCACACTCTTACTGCCGTGACCAGTGAGTGTTCGAGTCTTTGGTGGTGCCTTTAAAGGGCCACACTCTCAGTGCCACGTTCAGTGGAGTGATCGCGTCTTTGGTGGTGCCTTTAAAGGGCCACACTCTTACTGCCGTGACCAGTGAGTGATCGAGTTTTTGGTGGTGCCTTGAAAGGGCCACACTCTCAGTGCCGCGTTCAGTGGAGTGATCGCGTCTTTGGTGGTGCCTTTAAAGGGCCACACTCTTACTGCCGTGACCAGTGAGTGATCGAGTCTTTGGTGGTGCCTTTAAAGGGCCACACTCTCAGTGCCGCGTTCAGTGGAGTGATCGCGTGGGCCACACTCTTACTGCCGTGACCAGTGAGTGATCGAGTTTTTGGTGGTGCCTTTAAAGGGCCACACTCTCAGTGCCGCGTTCAGTGGAGTGATCGCGTCTTTGGTGGTGCCTTTAAAGGGCCACACTCTCAGTGCAGCGTCCAGTGGAGTGATCGAGTCATCAGTGTCGCCTCTAAAGATCTACACTTTTAATGAAGCAGCCAGTGGAGTGTTCGATTCATCGGTGGTGCCTCTAAAGGGTCACACTCTCAGTGCAGCGCCCAGTGGAGTGTTCGAGTCATCGGTGGTGCCTCCAAAGAGCTACACTTTTAATGCAGCAGCCAGTGGAGTGTTCGAGTCATCGGTGGTGCCTCCAAAGAGGCACACTGTCAGTGCCGGGTCCAGTTGAGTGATCGAGTCTTTGGTGGTGCCTTTAAAGAGCCACACTCTCAGTGCCGCGTCCAGTGGAGTAATCGAGTCTTTGGTGGTGCCTTTAAAGGGCCACAATCAAAGTGCCGCGTCCAGTGGAGTGATCGCGTCTTTGGTGGTGCCTTTAAAGGGCCACACTCTTACTGCCGTGACCAGTGAGTGATCGAGTTTTTGGTGGGGCCTTTAAAGGGCCACAATCTCAGTGCCGCGTTCAGTGGAGTGATCGCGTCTTTGGTGGTGCCTTTAAAGGGCCACACTCTTACTGCCGTGACCAGTGAGTGATCGAGTCTTTGGTGGTGCCTTTAAAGGGCCACACTCTCAGTGCCGCGTCAAGTGGAGTGATCGCGTTTTGGTGGTGCCTTTAAAGGGCCACACTCTTACTGCCGTGACCAGTAAGTGTTCGAGTCTTTGGTGGTGCCTTTAAAGGGCCACACTCTCAGTGCCGCGTTCAGTGGAGTGATCGCGTCTTTGGTGGTGCCTTTAAAGGGCCACACTCCTACTGCCGTGACCAGTGAGTGATCGAGTTTTTGGTGGTGCCTTTAAAGGGCCACACTCTCAGTGCCACGTTCAGTGGAGTGATCGCGTCTTTGGTGGTGCCTTTAAAGGGCCACACTCTCAGTGCAGCGTCCAGTGGAGTGATCGAGTCATCAGTGGTGCCTCTAAAGATCTACACTTTTAATGAAGCAGCCAGTGGAGTGTTCGAGTCATCGGTGGTGCCTCTAAAGGGTCACACTCTCAGTGCAGCGCCCAGTGGAGTGTTCGAGTCATCGGTGGTGCCTCCAAAGAGCTACACTTTTAATGCAGCAGCCAGTGGAGTGTTCGAGTCATCGGTGGTGCCTCCAAAGAGGCACACTGTCAGTGCCAGGTCCAGTTGAGTGATCGAGTCTTTGGTGGTGCCTTTAAAGGGCCACACTCTCAGTGCCGCGTCCAAAGGAGTAATCGAGTCTTTGGTGGTGCCTTTAAAGGGCCACAATCAAAGTGCCGCGTCCAGTGAGTCTTCGAGTCTTTGGTGGTGCCTTTAAAGGGCCACACTCTCAGTGCCGCGTTCAGTGGAGTGATCGCGTCTTTGGTGGTGCCTTTAAAGGGCCACACTCTCAGTGCAGCGTCCAGTGGAGTGATCGAGTCATCAGTGGTGCCTCTAAAGATCTACACTTTTAATGAAGCAGCCAGTGGAGTGTTCGAGTCATCGGTGGTGCCTCTAAAGGGTCTGACTCTCAGTGCAGCGCCCAGTGGAGTGTTCGAGTCATCGGTGGTGCCTCCAAAGAGGCACACTGTCAGTGCCGGGTCCAGTTGAGTGATCGAGTCTTTGGTGGTGCCTTTAAAGGGCCACACTCTCAGTGCCGCGTTCAGTGGAGTGATCGCGTCTTTGGTGGTGCCTTTAAAGGGCCACACTCTTACTGCCGTGACCAGTGAGTGATCGAGTTTTTGGTGGTGCCTTTAAAGGGCCACACTCTCAGTGCCGCGTACAGTGGAGTGATCGCGTCTTTGGTGGTGCCTTTAAAGGGCCACACTCTCAGTGCAGCGTCTAGTGGAGTGATCGAGTCATCAGTGGTGCCTCTTAAGATCTACACTTTAAATGAAGCAGCCAGTGGAGTGTTCGAGTCATCGGTGGTGCCTCTAAAGGGTCACACTCTCAGTGCAGCGCCCAGTGGAGTGTTCGAGTCATCGGTGGTGCCTCCAAAGAGCTACACTTTTAATGCAGCAGCCAGTGGAGTGTTCGAGTCATCGGTGGTGCCTCCAAAGAGGCACACTGTCAGTGCCGGGTCCAGTTGAGTGATCGAGTCTTTGGTGGTGCCTTTAAAGGGCCACACTCTCAGTGCCGCGTCCAGTGGAGTAATCGATTCTTTGGTGGTGCCTTTAAAGGGCCACAATCAAAGTGCTGCGTCCAGTTTGTCTTCGAGTCTTTGGTGGTGCCTTTAAAGGGCCACATTCTCAGTGCCGCGTTCAGTGGAGTGATCGCGTCTTTGGTGGTGCCTTTAAAGGGCCACACTCTTACTGCCGTGACCAGTGAGTGATCGAGTTTTTGGTGGTGCCTTTAAAGGGCCACACTCTCAGTGCCGCGTTTAGTGGAGTGATCGCGTCTTTGGTGGTGCCTTTAAAGGGCCACACTCTTACTGCCGTGACCAGTGAGTGATCGAGTCTTTGGTGGTGCCTTTAAAGGGCCACACTCTCAGTGCCGCGTCAAGTGGAGTGATCGCGTTTTGGTGGTGCCTTTAAAGGGCCACACTCTTACTGCCGTGACCAGTAAGTGTTCGAGTCTTTGGTGGTGCCTTTAAAGGGCCACACTCTCAGTGCCACGTTCAGTGGAGTGATCGCGTCTTTGGTGATGCCTTTAAAGGGCCACACTCTTACTGCCGTGACCAGTGAGTGATCGAGTTTTTGGTGGTGCCTTTAAAGGGCCACACTCTCAGTGCCGCGTTCAGTGGAGTGATCGCGTCTTAGGTGGGGCCTCCAAAGAGCTACACTTTTAATGCAGCAGGCAGTGGAGTGTTCGAGTCATCGGTGGTGCCTCCAAAGAGGCACACTGTCAGTGCCGGGTCCAGTTGAGTGATCGAGTCTTTGGTGGTGCCTTTAAAGGGCCACACTCTCAGTGCCGCGTCCAGTGGAGTAATCGAGTCTTTGGTGGTGCCTTTAAAGGGCCACAATCAAAGTGCCGCGTCCAGTGAGTCTTCGAGTCTTTGGTGGTGCCTTTAAAGAGCCACAATCTCATTGCCGCCTCCAGTGTAGTAATCGCCTTTTTGGTGGTGCCTTTAAAGGGCCACACTCTAAGTGCCGCGTCCAGTGGAGTGATCGAATCTTTGGTGGTGCCTTTAAAGGGCCACACTCTCAGTGCGGCGTCCAGTGGAGTAATCGCGTCTTTGGTGGTGCCTTTAAAGGGCCACACTCTTACTGCCGTGACCAGTGAGTGTTCGAGTCTTTGGTGGTGCCTTTAAAGGGCCACACTCTCAGTGCAGCGTCCAGTGGAGTGATCGAGTCATCAGTGGTGCCTCTAAAGATCTACACTTTTAATGAAGCAGCCAGTGGAGTGTTCGAGTCATCGGTGGTGCCTCTAAAGGGTCACACTCTCAGTGCAGCGCCCAGTGGAGTGTTCGAGTCATCGGTGGTGCCTCCAAAGAGCTACACTTTTAATGCAGCAGCCAGTGGAGTGTTCGAGTCATCGGTGGTGCCTCCAAAGAGGCACACTGTCAGTGCCGGGTCCAGTTGAGTGATCGAGTCTTTGGTGGTGCCTTTAAAGGGCCACACTCTCTGTGCCGCGTCCAGTGGAGTAATCGAGTCTTTGGTGGTGCCTTTAAAGGGCCACAATCAAAGTGCCGCGTCCAGTGAGTCTTCGAGTCTTTGGTGGTGCCTTTAAAGGGCCACACTCTCAGTGCCGCGTTCAGTGGAGTGATCGCGTCTTTGGTGATGCCTTTAAAGGGCCACACTCTTACTGCCGTGACCAGTGAGTGATCGAGTTTTTGGTGGGGCCTTTAAAGGGCCACAATCTCAGTGCCGCGTTCAGTGGAGTGATCGCGTCTTTGGTGGTGCCTTTCAAGGGCCACACTCTTACTGCCGTGACCAGTGAGTGATCGAGTCTTTGGTGGTGCCTTTAAAGGGCCACACTCTCAGTGCCGCGTCAAGTGGAGTGATCGCGTTTTGGTGGTGCCTTTAAAGGGCCACACTCTTACTGCCGTGACCAGTAAGTGTTCGAGTCTTTGGTGGTGCCTTTAAAGGGCCACACTCTCAGTGCCGCGTTCAGTGGAGTGATCGCGTCTTTGGTGGTGCCTTTAAAGGGCCACACTCTTACTGCCGTGACCAGTGAGTGATCGAGTTTTTGGTGGTGCCTTTAAAGGGCCACACTCTCAGTGCCGCGTTCAGTGGAGTGATCGCGTCTTTGGTGGTGCCTTTAAAGGGCCACACTCTCAGTGCAGCGTCCAGTGGAGTGATCGAGTCATCAGTGGTGCCTCTAAAGATCTACACTTTTAATGAAGCAGCCAGTGGAGTGTTCGAGTCATCGGTGGTGCCTCTAAAGGGTCACACTCTCAGTGCAGCGCCCAGTGGAGTGTTCGAGTCATCGGTGGTGCCTCCAAAGAGCTACACTTTTAATGCAGCAGCCAGTGGAGTGTTCGAGTCATCGGTGGTGCCTCCAAAGAGGCACACTGTCAGTGCCGGGTCCAGTTGAGTGATCGAGTCTTTGGTGGTGCCTTTAAAGGGCCACACTCTCAGTGCCGCGTCCAGTGGAGTAATCGAGTCTTTGGTGGTGCCTTTTAAGGGCCACAATCAAAGTGCCGCGTCCAGTGAGTCTTCGAGTCTTTGGTGGTGCCTTTAAAGGGCCACACTCTCAGTGCCGCGTTCAGTGGAGTGATCGCGTCTTTGGTGGTGCCTTTAAAGGGCCACACTCTTACTGCCGTGACCAGTGAGTGATCGAGTTTTTGGTGGGGCCTTTAAAGGGCCACACTCTCAGTGCCGCGTTCAGTGGAGTGATCGCGTCTTTGGTGGTGCCTTTAAAGGGCCACACTCTTACTGCCGTGACCAGTGAGTGATCGAGTCTTTGGTGGTGCCTTTAAAGGGCCACACTCTCAGTGCCGCGTCAAGTGGAGTGATCGCGTTTTGGTGGTGCCTTTAAAGGGCCACACTCTTACTGCCGTGACCAGTAAGCGTTCGAGTCTTTGGTGGTGCCTTTAAAGGGCCACACTCTCAGTGCCGCGTTCAGTGGAGTGATCGCGTCTTTGGTGGTGCCTTTAAAGGGCCACACTCTTACTGCCGTGACCAGTGAGTGATCGAGTTTTTGGAGGTGCCTTTAAAGGGCCACACTCTCAGTGCCGCGTTCAGTGGAGTGATCGCGTCTTTGGTGGTGCCTTTAAAGGACCACACTCTCAGTGCAGCGTCCAGTGGAGTGATCGAGTCATCAGTGGTGCCTCTAAAGATCTACACTTTTAATGAAGCAGCCAGTGGAGTGTTCGAGTCATCGGTGGTGCCTCTAAAGGGTTACACTCTCAGTGCAGCGCCCAGTGGAGTGTTCGAGTCATCGGTGGTGCCTCCAAAGAGCTACACTTTTAATGCAGCAGCCAGTGGAGTGTTCGAGTCATCGGTGGTGCCTCCAAAGAGGCACACTGTCAGTGCCGGGTCCAGTTGAGTGATCGAGTCTTTGGTGGTGCCTTTAAAGGGCCACACTCTCAGTGCCGCGTCCAGTGGAGTAATCGAGTCTTTGGTGGTGCCTTTAAAGGGCCACAATCAAAGTGCCGCGTCCAGTGAGTCTTCGAGTCTTTGGTGGTGCCTTTAAAGGGCCACACTCTCAGTGCCGCGTTCAGTGGAGTGATCGCGTCTTTGGTGGTGCCTTTAAAGGGCCACACTCTTACTGCCGTGACCAGTGAGTGATCGAGTTTTTGGTGGGGCCTTTAAAGGGCCACAATCTCAGTGCCGCGTTCAGTGGAGTGATCGCGTCTTTGGTGGTGCCTTTCAAGGGCCACACTCTTACTGCCGTGACCAGTGAGTGATCGAGTCTTTGGTGGTGCCTTTAAAGGGCCACACTCTCAGTGCCGCGTCAAGTGGAGTGATCGCGTTTTGGTGGTGCCTTTAAAGGGCCACACTCTTACTGCCGTGACCAGTAAGTGTTCGAGTCTTTGGTGGTGCCTTTAAAGGGCCACACTCTCAGTGCCGCGTTCAGTGGAGTGATCGCGTCTTTGGTGGTGCCTTTAAAGGGCCACACTCTTACTGCCGTGACCAGTGAGTGATCGAGTTTTTGGTGGTGCCTTTAAAGGGCCACACTCTCAGTGCCGCGTTCAGTGGAGTGATCGCGTCTTTGGTGGTGCCTTTAAAGGGCCACACTCTCAGTGCAGCGTCCAGTGGAGTGATCGAGTCATCAGTGGTGCCTCTAAAGATCTACACTTTTAATGAAGCAGCCAGTGGAGTGTTCGAGTCATCGGTGGTGCCTCTAAAGGGTCACACTCTCAGTGCAGCGCCCAGTGGAGTGTTCGAGTCATCGGTGGTGCCTCCAAAGAGCTACACTTTTAATGCAGCAGCCAGTGGAGTGTTCGAGTCATCGGTGGTGCCTCCAAAGAGGCACACTGTCAGTGCCGGGTCCAGTTGAGTGATCGAGTCTTTGGTGGTGCCTTTAAAGGGCCACACTCTCAGTCCCGCGTCCAGTGGAGTAATCGAGTCTTTGGTGGTGCCTTTAAAAGGCCACAATCAAAGTGCCGCGTCCAGTGAGTCTTCGAGTCTTTGGTGGTGCCTTTAAAGGGCCACACTCTCAGTGCCGCGTTCAGTGGAGTGATCGCGTCTTTGGTGGTGCCTTTAAAGGGCCACACTCTTA